GTACGCTGAATCCGAAAATGATATCCATTTTTTCATCAAGTAGAGGGTATTCACAAAACGTCATATGTACTTTTACATAATTAAATCATTTTCATTGCAATCGGGTCACATTTTGTTATGCTTAAAATGTTGACAACCACTGGCTATAAATTTCTCTAGACCAATCGCGACATGAGAGTCTTATCGATCGATCTAGAACCCACAAGAAACACACCGCTGGTATATAAACGGTTAACAGGTCGCATGACCTGTCATTCCCAGATAGTATTTGTTTTTTCTTTTCAATATTATTTATTCGTCACCGTGGCAACAAGAGGTTGTGTAAATGACCGAAACGTATTCTGTTATATTTGTGATAAATTTGTTGTAAATAAACAATGGGAAAACATTACGGAATTTGTCAAAAAAGCATATTACGCGTATTTTGGAATAAAACTTGGAGACCAAGACAAATTATGGGCTCTACATAAAGTTTGCACCTTTTGTATTGAAGAATTGAGACAATGGACTAAAAGAAAGAAAAAGTTTTTGCCTTTTGAAATTCCAATGGTCAGGCATAAGTCTAGAAACCACGGAGATGACTGCTATTTGTGCTCATGTAAGGTGCAAGGCTACAACACTCGAAATAAAAAGAAAATTTTTTATCTGAACCTTCCATCTGCAATAAAACCTGTTGCTCATGGACCTGATGTACCTGTACCTACTCCACCGGAGACTCTTGATACAGTTTCACCTTATTCTGAATCTGATGTCAATATAAATGATGATAGATTGTTTTCAACCCGAAACGTCTGGTAAGCCACAACTTTTCACACAAGGTGAACTTTTGGTGAGAGGTTTGGGCCTTCCAAAGGATTCTTCAGAGATTTTTGGGTCCAGACTTTGGGCTGAGTAGTTACTTTCTACAGGGACATTATTTTACTGGTACAGAAATCGTGAGAAAGAGTTTATACCATACTTTTCGCAAGAAGATTTACTGGTTTATTGCAACAATATTGCTGAATTAATACCAATGCTAGGAGCTGCAGTCTATGAACCAAATCAGTGGCAATTGTTCATTGATTCCTCCAAAAGAAATCTAAAAGTGTTCTCCTTCACAGTGGTAACATATGCATCTGTTCCTATTGCTCATTTAGTTCACTTGAAGGAAACGTACGAAAATCTCGAACTTCTTAATAAGGTCAAATACAAAGAACATGGTTGGCTACTTTGTGGAGACTTAAAAGTTCCTTGAATGTTGTTGGGTCAACAATCCGATTATACAAAGTTTCCATGTTTTTGTGTGATGGGACAGCAGAGCACGAAATCAACACTGAATATAGAAGCAATGGCCATGCAGAGTCAGCCTAATACCAGGATCAAAAAACATTGAACGTGAACGTTTGGTTGACACAAAGAAAGTCCTATTACTTCCACTTCACATAAAACTTGGCTTGATGAAGCAGTTTGTAAAGGCAAAGACAAAGATGGCGACTGTTTCAAGTATCTATGTGGGCAATTCCCAGCTCTTTCAGAAGTGAAACTTAAAGAATGGATTTTTGGTGGGCCTCAGATTAGGAAATTGATTTCGGATGAACAATTCAAAAGGACGATGAGGAAAGTTAAAAATGACAAATATTTAGGAGACAACAAGGACTCAAAATACGAAAATACTGCCAATAACATGCTTGATAAATTCAAAGAGTTGGGTTGTAATATGAGCTTCAAAGTTCATTTCTTACACCCTGACTATTGATTGTTTCTCTGAAAATCTCAGTGCCTTCAGCGAAGAACAAGGGGAAAGTTTCACCAAGACATCAGGGAAATGGAGAGGAGGTATTAGGGAAGGTGGAACACCGGCATGATGGCTGATTACTGCTGGTCATTAAAACGATGTGCTACAGACGCAATATTTAAAAAAGACCACAATACGTAGTTTTGAGACTAAAAAATGTAGATTTCACAAAAAAATAATCAGGGATGAATGAGGATGCATATTCTTTTGACGTCAATGTTCTT